GGGTGCTGACATCATCAGGGCAGGCCACTCGGAAAAGTCAGCGCAGAAGCTCGGACACTCGGACAGAGTCTGCACCATCAACTACAACAAGCATTCTGGGTGGGATGGCCGGGTGCTCACGTCACCAAGGAGCTTCGCCTTGTGAAGGTGGGGCAAGAGCTCAGACGCTCGGACAGGGTCCGCCCCATTGACTAAAAGAGGACAGCTTACCTGCAGCCCTTTTGGCACCATCGAAGCACTCGTAGATCTCTCCTCAGACCCGCAACCACCCGTGGGATTGGTCTCCTCCATTGACTGCAGAACGTGGAAGTGGAGTTGACGAGGGTTGGAAAGCAGTGAGAACTCTTACAAGCGCCTGATTGTTGAACCATTAAGGCTCTGATAGAAGCAAGGTACTTTGAATTGTTGCGTGTGAGTGTTGGCTAAGATGCTTGCAGTCCAGCAGCCCCCCCCCCCGGACGATAGCCCGCATGCTTGAATCCCTTAATCGACTCTCAAATATACCTGAAACAAAGTGACAATGGCCACATGCACAAGAATGGCCCAACAGTGGGCCCCAATTTAGCAAACCACCCCTTCTTTTTCTGAACAGCATCAGATTGGCACAGTGGCGCTGAAAAACTCAGCCCAACAGATCATCCTTTGCAATACATGCAATCGACCACGTTGGTTCCAAAAACAATACTGCGATAATTGCCCAATGCTGTCCGATATTTGTGGTCGCCCCAAAATCTTGGGATGCGATTGCGTTTTCGTGTACATCAGCTCTTAACTTGGCAATTGAATGGCTATGTACATGAATCGAATGGCTATGTACACGAACATCACCTGCCAAGTCGGCAACTAAACGGCAATGTACACGAAGTCATCATATTCTTTCTATGTCTTCTTCATTATTGGTTGCAATTGCGCGCTCACTTCTTCTGGGCACGCAATCGGGCCTTGATGAAATCAGCTGGATACTAAGAATGTGCACCCTAGGATCGTCTTCAAATGGCAATTCAGAGGGAGCGGGAAAGACCTCGAGAGAGACCAACTTTCAGACATAGCCCTTTCCCAGCGTGGGCTGACAATCTGCCGGTCTATCAGGTTCTGACAAATCTGCAGCACATGCAATAGGTCAGGGGGAAGGAAGGGTTTCACCTTGATTGCAGCGGTGGCTGCCCCTGTTGCAGCCAGCTTCTAAAGCGCGTTGCCTCAAAGAGACCTCCTGCTGCAACCTGCAAGACAGAGGAAGGGGAGAATGAGTTGAAGCGGATGTGCATGCTTGGATTGAAGCACTTTGGTCTTGTGGATTCACTCGCACCGCTGCTACCATGCGCTCATGCAGCTGACATGAAAGGCCAGTAATTGCAGCTGCCCTCCAGTTGCCTTCAATATCAAGCAGAGAAGATACAGGTTTTTAGAGCCAGGGAAGCGTTGAGGAAGATCAGCAGAGAGCTTGAAGTGCTCTCCCCTCCTTGCATGCATGCGATAGACTGAAATCACACACATTGACCTGAAGCGCTCTCCCCTCTTTGCATGCATGCGGCAGGCTGGGAACTGTACATCTTGGACTGTCAGACCATTCTTCAAAAGTCTACCAGCATGTCACCTCCGCTAAAGAGCATCTTACACCTTAGGCTGAGCACACCGACAAACCCAGAATTCATGGTCTTCTTGGTGCTTTCTACACGAGAAGACCGCTTGCAAAGAGAGCTGGCGAAAAGCTCACAGAGCCCGAGGTCTTACCGCAGCGCCTGACATGCGCGCCCTCCTGCTTCCAGCCTCCAGGCATTTGATGCTATGCTTCCATTCCTTGAGCTGCTTCCAGAACGCTGTGAAGAAATAGACCCACTGCTCCACCCCAAATCGAAATTGGAAAGTTCTGGCAGCCACGTAAGCCACCTCTAAGAGGTGCCAAAGGGTGCCGCAAGGCGCCATGGCTTGCCAATGCCACCTGTCCTGGCTGCTGACTCAGCAGGCACACCAGCTGAATCAGCCTGCTGCAATCCAGCAGGCCGAAATCTGCTTGCTGACGAGAATGCTGCCAGCACAGAATCAAGAAGATTCGGAAAACCGCACCACAACCTATCACAACGTTGAGGACATGAGCTGAGCTCCGATATGAGCTGGGAGAGAGCTCATTCTTCAAGAAGGGCCGAGCCCAACACCGCAAGCTGGCACCACTGCCCGCAGTGGCGTTTTTGGAGCCACAACCCCTCCCAAAAGCTCGAACAAAGGCGTTCATACAGGTGCAGCACGCCTGTTGGAGAAGGCAGGTGAGTCTTCGGGCTTCGCGGGTGCTAGCAACTAGCTTGGACAGCCTCAAGGAGGTCGAAGTCTGCTGCCCGCTTGTAAGCTAAGCACCATTCCCGCTGGCAGCGTGGTAATGGCCAGCCCACCCCCTCTATGGCAGCAGATTCGAGCACCCGGCCCTAGTGCTCAGCTTGCACCGGGCGCTTGAGAGTCCTGGGGTCACCAGCCGCCAGAACGACGGTACCTGTGAACTAAAGTGCTGGGTATGGCCGGGCTGCCCTGGGGGGTGTGACATGGCGCCCCCTGGTTAGCTACAAGTTTAGTCCGAACTTCATTTGGTCGTGGAAACTGGCTGTACCGGGCACTTTTGCGACCCGGTCTAGCCCTACAAATATGGAGTGCCTTCGTCAAGGAGTTCAAACTGTCATCAGCCCGGGGACCCGAAACACCGCTGGACTAGTTTGCGCCATAGGCAGTAGGTTGCTACGTGTGTAAGATTGAGGAATGACATCATTCTATGGCATGGTCAAAAGCAGCTCACTAATGCGACAGACTTGAGTACCAGGCTTTCATGGCATGGCTTTCAAAGTAGTGGTTACTCATGTCTTGCATGAATTGTGCGCTACGACATTCTAATCATTCGAAAGTTATCTAGCTCGTCGTTGATCGCAGCGGTTGCCCACTTTTCTTGATGCACCGGATCGAAGCGGTTGGTGGTCAAGGAGGTGCGCCTAGTGACTTGGCCTATGAGGCAGATTGTGACTCGTACAAGTTGTATGGCCACGAGCTGCTGCATGTAGTGGCCTAGCTCTCTGGCATGTCAGGCATGTCTATATACCGAGCAAATCACGGGCCAAGTTGTGCTCTTAGCGCATGCAGATGCATCTACTAAAGCGACCGGCTGTTTGATATAATGCTTGGAGTATAGAAGCATCAGATATAGGTGTTGAGTGTCAATTGCACGAACCTCACTTTTAAACTGAGCGCCGGCGCAAATTTGCGGACAGGTACAAAGCTATGATTCAGATTACACACGTATTTCGCGGACGATCGGCCTTTGTCCTTCCGCATTCTTTTCATCTCCCGTCGTTTTCCATCACGCCATTGACAGGTCTACCACTTCCTTCTGAACAATCCAAACATTCCGGTGATCTAACGTCCCACCTTGTGGACGTACAAAGAGTACTTCCACTTTGTGGATGCTTCTGATCTTTGTCTGATCTTTGGTTTATGTCAGTGAATTGTTTGCTCCTCTTCTCGAAGACGAATAGTCGGCCCACAAGTCGAACTCCATCCTCCTTGGTGCCGCACGCCGCGCACACGAACTCCTTGAGGGCCCCCAGGCGCAGCCCCAGCTGCTCGACTGCTGCCGCATAGTCCGCCGACTTCTTCACTTCACCAGTGTCGATGTATGCGAAGTTGGTTTCCTTGTCGACATCCATACGGCCCCTGCAGTCGAGCTCAAGTACCTCGCTAGGCATGATCCTTGGAGAACAGGTCAGGTAAATCTCGGGAAAAGCGGCTGCAATCAGGAGCATGATCCCCGCGCTCTCACATGAGAGGAGCTCCTCTACTTGCTCCTCCTCGGTTTCCAGCTGAAGGAAACGCCGCAGCCGCACAAGCTTGGACCGCAGCGCGTTGTTGTCCGTAGCACCGATGAAGCTACCTAAGCCCCTTCGGTCCACGCTCCCGTCAGCCTGAACCCACCCGATTTGGCCGGCCGCATCCTGGAAGCTGCGCAGAAGCCGGAGTGCGACCCCCTGACTTAACGAGGGCCTTGCTGACGCGCTTGGCCCGCTCCAAGGGCGCCTTCAAGACCTCCACGGACTCGGCATCCTTAAACAGCGTTTCGTCGGGAAGAAGAAGCGCCAGGTCCTGCAGAGACCGCGCTAGCAGCGGTCTCACATAGTGCTCACCAAACATGTTGGCTATTTGCTGGCGCGTTGCGACCTCCACGAGGTCCCCCGTGGTCTCAACCAGGTTCGCCATCTCTCTCTGAATGGGGGCCAGATTGCTCTTGAGTAGCTCATTGATGCTCTGAAGGGTGACTGCGTCAGCGCTAGAGGGCTCTTGAGGGTCGCTTTTTCCACCTGGGCAGCAGAAGAAGGGCCTTACATCAGACTATGCATCACCAGGGTATGTAAAAGTTTTACTACGTTAAGGCGGTTGCTTAGCAGGCTGTTCGTGCGGGAGCGGGTCCCGGAGAAGTGGGCAGAAAGCACGTCAGCGTTGACGTCAGCACCGGGCTGGCGGGCTCAGAGGGCCAGGCGCTTAGGTACTGGCCTTAAGCACGCTGTGCTTTGAAAGGAGGAAGCCACAATGAAAAGCAACGAAAAAAGTAAAAAACAGTGAACGGCGTGGAACACGAGGTCAGACGGGGAGTTGGTTGCGTCCAGTATGTTCTGGCCTGAGTGCCTCTCTCAGAACAGCTAACCTCCACTACTACCAGAAAGTTGAGCTCCGATGCACCTTACTGAAGGTCAGAGCTAACATTAGCGGGCGAGCTCACCGGCTGCTCCTTCTGTAGGCGTGTTCCCCTTGGCGCTGACCACCGCAGTCATCGCCCTTCTCCCAGCCCGCTCGTGAAGGACAGGATTGGTGAAGCTGCACACATCCCCTGGAGACAGCGTGCTCTGCATAGTGACGGGGCGGCTCCTGCGCCATGTTTGTGACGGGCTGAACGTGTTGGGGAGGATGCGGCTCCTGGCCCCTGCACATGAAGGAAGAGAACCTGCTTCAAAAAGAGTTTCAGAGGAGGACAGGGCTGGTGTTGCCCACTTAGATATCCTGAAACAACTTGCGAAATGGCAGGTCGAGGACGATTAACACCTTGACCCAGGTCAGCGGACTTAAGACAAGACGCAGACTGCGATGGAGATCTTGATGCAGCCCGCAAGAAACCTATAGTCCAAAGGCAGAAAAGAGAGCATTGTTAAGCACTCAAGAATGTCCAGGCATCACTGTTCATGTTGAGCAAGTTCGTGTGCCCAAAAGGAAGAAATCACAAATACTTTAGCTGCACAACTGAGACGACCAAGCCACTGGCTCGAGAGATGCCTAAAGAACAAACTGGAGAAGCACAGAGCCACCAATCATGATAGGAAGACAAAAACTGTCTTATGATGCCGATGATTCAAAGCAAGGAAACAAATACTGTGTATCTCAGGAATAACACAATACAACAGGCACTGACAGGACTCAAATGTTGAATTTCAGGAACATGACACAGCTATCTACAAGTGAGAGAAATGAACCCGTCTATGTCCAGACGACACCCAGCTAGCAGGGTGAATCGAGCTTCAGGAATGATTGAGATGTGGTGTTTCTCTTGGGGTGGTGTGCACGATGTAGCCCAATGTTTTGCTGGCCTACTGCCAACAGACAATGCTTTCTATGAGCTGGGCAAGACGTACCGTACACCCCACAGCAGGCCCCAGAACCCAAGAAACCGGATATTTAAGGTCCTGGTTTTCCATCTGATCGCCGCTGCAGGGCCTGCAACCATCAGAAAACGCCAGACTTGCTCAACACGCTCCTCTTTTGGCAAAGAGTACGTACCTGCAGCCACAGACGCACTACACGTTACCCGTGCTGACAGCTGCGGTCCGAAACCAAACCCTACACAGGTGGCCATAGCCCCTCTTCCGGAGCCCTTCTTCCGAAGTCACAAGTTTTTTGGGATGGGACGAGGAGATCGGGACGAGGAGAAAGGGCGCAATAGCAGGTTGCACTCAGAACGCTTGCTTGGTGTTCCGTAATTAACTTCGGTCTAAGCTTCTGGCCACTCACAGGCCGCCTCTGTCATACCCAGCAAGCCAAATGAAGTTCATACCCCCCCCCACTAACCCAAAGAGCTGCAGTTAGGCTGACGGGTCGAAAGGCCTAAAGCCCAAAGTGGCCGAAGCGGTACACTTGGGGTCCGTACCGGCGCCGGGAAGGGTTTTCGACCTGCGGTACGGCCCTACCGGACAAATTCAAACTCGTGGATCCCGGGGGGTATGACATGGCGGCCTGTGAGTGGCCAAAACTTTAGTCCGAACTTCATTTGGTTTGCTGGGGGGTACCAAATAAAGTTGAGACTAAAATAGACGGCTAGGATGGACCGGGAGGGATCGGACGGTGTACGCGCGGCAACCATTGTACCGGATTTGGCCGGTGACGGTATATAAGGTTGCAGGTACCGGAGAGGAGGCCACGTCAGCACCCCCCTAGTAGATTCTGAAAAAATACGACCACCGCCGCGTCGAACCGATCGGAACTTAGAGACAAGCGACCGGGCACAAATGCCCAGGTCGGGGCTCATACACTTAGAGAGAAGGTCGCTGGCTAGAATGCCAAGTTCGAGGCCCGGTAAAACAGGACCGGGTCGCAGCAGGTAGGAAGGGAGGCTTAGAGGGAGCCCCCCCCCCCCAAGAGTAGGGCAACATAGGGGGTAAACCATGGAGTCTGATTCTAGGCTTCAGCATTTCAGCAGTGGGCTTGAGCATATTGAGCGGAGTAGCTTGAGGGGCATCTTGTCAGGTGAAATTAGGGTTGACGTGCAGAGCTGCAAGGAGCGCGTTGCAGTGCGGTGCCTCTTGTGCTTGCACCAGGTCTGGGCAAAGACCGGAGAGGGGCAGTTGAGACTGGCATTCCGAAAGAGCGATCGGGGCATTCTGATGGGCTACATTGTCAGCGCAACAGTCCCCAAGAGCAAGCAGTCCAAGCAGATTGTGTGCCTGAATTGCATAAACAACTTGGTCGGCAAGCTCGCTGAGAGCACTGATGCTTTGTCGATGATGATTCTTGGCAGCAAGAGGGGCGGCCTGCAGAACGCAGTTGTTCTGCGGCGGGAGGCGAAAGAGGGGGCGTGGAGGCAGGAGTTGGAGCTCAGCGACGAGCTGCTCAGCTTCCTTCGTCAGGAGAACGCGAGGACAATGCCAGGGGAGCGGCACGTTTCCACGGCAGCAACGCAGATAGGCGCTCGCGGCATTGCAAAGGGGGTTCGCCCGAGAGCTAGGAGCGAGGCAGCGGAGAGCTCCGAGGTGAGCCCAATTTTTTCTTGACAAGCATCAGAAGAAAGCAGATGTCTGAAGCAAGCTCTTTATGCTCTGCTCGTGCGCGCTGCCATCGCTGCTATGTCCTGAGAGCGACTAGACGGCAGCGCACATCTCGTGAATATGCAGTCCTTCTGAAGTTGCTTGAAAGTGGTTGTGAACTGGAGGGCCACAAGATTGCTGATCTGTTTGAAACCTGGGATTGTAATTCTCAAGGCTCCATTCTGCTCACGCTGCCAAACAACGGAAGGGAGATCAGAATGAAAGACATGCTCTCGTGCATCTCTACAGGATTGCACTCAAACGACGAGCATCAAGGCGCAAGCTGTGCGCTATCTGCGAATGATGGTCTCGCCCGCTGCGCCGGTCCACATGTACCTGCCCACGAAGTCAGAAGCGCTGCGGCCGCTTAGGCTGTACATGAGTCCGTGGAATCACAACGGAGAGGGCGCGCCAAAGGCACTGGGAAAGCCTGACAAGGTTACAGGGCTGCCAGAGACAGTCTGGTGGAATTCGCTGGGGAACATCTGCTGCACGTGCCACAGAGGCCGACTAACGGAGGATGCCCCTTGTGTTCACAAGCTGGCGCTAGCGGCCCTCAGCGAGAGTTGGGCGCCAACGTCTGAGCTCCCCACGCGCGACAGGCTTGGAAGAGGGGTGCACGTTGAGCGAGTAGCCACGGACGATCGAGGGAGCTGCATTGCAGTTGCAGACAATCTGCAAGGGGCGCTCGGCCCGCGACGGCGCATGGTCTTCCAGAGCTTCAAGGGGGATTGGCTCTGGTGCGAGGGGCGCAATGACGGCTGTCCTTCCTTGATCGACTGCTCCCACGTGGCCGCGGTAAAGAGAGAGCTCAACGAGGCCGGCGGCGTCCCCATGGCCAACCAGATGATCATGGAGCCCTTGCAACCATTGTCAATGGCTGCTGTGTGCTGGCTCGAGCGATGGGATGGAGTGATGCCCCAGATCGGAAAGGCAGTGCCCACGGTGGGGGCAATTTCGTCAGAGGGGTCGGAAGGCCGAAGCGCGCTCAAGGACGAGGGGGAGTACCTCATCGGCCTGCTCGAGAAGCGTCCTCATGATCCGGCAACGTGCTCAGGCGAGTCGTGCTTCTGCCAACAACACGAACGGCTCTTTGGGGATGCGGGCGCGCACGACATTGGAGAAGAGAGTGCGGGGGTGGATCTCGAGAGGAAGCGCGCTTTTGGAGGGCACGTGCCCCCTCGAAAGAGAGCGAGGCGCAGCAAGGCGGCGTGGGCAGCGCACAGAGAGAGCGCGCAGCCGGCTGCGCCAATCGGTTGGGAAGCGCGGCCGCCGACGGACGCGAGGGGCAAGGAGGCAATCCGAGGCTGGGTGGATGCATGCACGAGCTGCACTTTGGCCTCCTTGGCGGACGGGGCTTGCGAGCACAGGAAGGCTTCGAGGGTTCGCGCCCCTGTCCAGCTGCTCACCACTGAGGCAGTCCAGGTCACGAAGCCCAAGCTTGCGAGGCTCAGCGATGCCCTCAGCTTCCACGACCCGTTGGTGACCTCGCTAGAGCGCCCCGTCCGCGTCAGCAAGCTCAGGGAATGCCATTTCGAGGAGCTTTCGGAGAAGGGGCTGCTTAGCGCTCCGTGCCCGTTGGAGCCCCCTCGGTGCGGCGGGTCATGGATGGAGGCATGGGTCAAGGCCTCCGTGACGGCGGCATCGTGGAGTCAGGGGGTCCAGACGCGCATTTACCACTGCCAGTGCTTGGACGAGGCGCACGCCATCCACTTTGATGGAGAGCACCAGGCTGGGGCTGTACGCCTGGAACCGAAGGACGATTTTCGTCCAGGAGAGCCTTCAGCTGCTTCTGCGAGGGATGCAGCACGGGCACTCCTTCAAGGCCGAGCTTGCAACCCCACAGAGCGCCTTCCAGCGCACCCCCGATGCCGTCGTGCTGAGCGAGGAGACTTGGCGTCGGGCGAGTCTTGACTTCTTCAAGCTGGTTGGGCTCGGCATCCGAGACTGCTGCTCGCTGTGCGGGCCACATCCAAGGGTGAGCAACATGGTTGCTGAGGCTCAACACGAGAATCTTGTGTCTCTCGTGTCTTCGCTGTCAGTGGACGTCGAAATCATGTAAAAAGAGGGATGATGTACATTCGTTGATGATTAGTGTCCATTCAATGACATTAGGTGTACATTCGATGATAGTCTGCGTTCATTCACTGACATTAGTGTACATTCAACGACATTGAATCATTGAAACCTTTCACCCCCTCAGGTGCTTCTCTGCGACGGCATTGTCGGTCTGGCGAGCGCCGATGGGGGCCAGAAGCCGGGCGGGCTTGGGAGCTCCTCCCTTGATGCGCGACGGACCTTCTGTCACCCCAGCCGTTACCCAACGGGACAGCTGCTCGAAAAGCATTCGATCTCCGGACGTGACTACTGCGGCGCGGGGCTCGAGGGGGGTGGCCTGAAGCGCAAGCTCCTACTGCAGCCCGAGCTGCGAGAGGCAATCGCACGGCTCTCACAGCATCGACCGAAGGACGAGAAGCTCGGGCAGCGGCTGTCGAGGGCGGATTTTGCGGCCCTCCTCGACGGGCTGGCTCACGAGGATGTCCGGGTCGTGAAGCGGTTCGGACCGGGGGAGGCCGAGGGGCCGCTCCCAGAAGACGGCAGGAGGCGCCTTCTCGAGGAGCAGCAGACAATGGTCAGGGATCGTAACCTGGCCATGTTCCAGCTGCTGACGGGGATCCAGGCGGACTTCCAGCGGCGGGGGCTCAGCCCGAACCTGTGGGAGCATTGGGTTGGCGAGTGGACGGAGCTCTTGTACTCGTTGGGCGCGCACGATAGCGATGAGGACCTGATCGGCAGTGGAGCGCTGCACGTGGTCCGGAAGTTGCTGCTCGGAGAGGAGGCGACTCTCGAGGACCGCCGGGACCTGGGTAGAGACGCCCCCATCCTGCGGCACCTCCTAGATGCGTACGGGGGGCTCACATTCCCCGGATGTTTTGCCGGGACGCTCCATCAGTTGTACCTGTTGTCTCTGCTTGCGAGGGGTGCGACGGGGTTCGAGGGCGATGGCCAGTTGGGCTGGGTGCACCAGGCGATTTGGCCGTTCGACCGAGCAGTGGCCCTAGTTGCAGAGGCAAGAGCGAGGCCTCTGTCGATCGAGGAGCGGCGGCAGTTGGACGAGGCTCGAGGTTTGGCAAACGAGCTGCTCCCGGGGGTCGAGAAGTTGGAGCCGAGCCCTCGGCAATGGGAGCGGATGAGTGCAGCCGAGCGGTTGCTTTTGAGAGAGCGGCTGGGGAAGGACGAGAACGGGGAGGATCTGCAGCCGCTCCCGTTGGGGCACAGCTTTCGAGAGGAGCAGGACGCGCTGGCGTGCTACACCCTTCCTGGTTGGGAGCAGAAGAGGGGGTTACCATACTACTCGAGCTTCGAGCACCCGGATGGCCGCAGCCGAACCTTGGAGGAGTTCAAGTGCGCAACGGGGAAGTCGATGAACGACTGGGATGCTGAGCACGTGCCGGGGCTAGTGAAGGGGGCCGGAAAGTTGTCGGGGAAGAAGGGCAGTAGGGGAAGCGGCCGAAGAGGTGTCGAGGGGCCTTTGTCTTTTGCTGCTCGCACCGAGTGATCTACGGCTTCCACATCATGCTGCGTGGAGAGAGCCCTCGGGACGCCTTCACCGTGCTCTACACGCGGCTGCGGCGCGAGGACCTTCCGGAAACTCTGGTGCATGACAATTCGTGCGCGCTGCGCAACTACTCAATGCGCCGAGCCCCGGCGTTCTTCAGGGACGTGCGCTTCGTGGTCGACAGGTGAGTGTACGTCTGAGCTTATTTGGCAACGTGTGCTGTGCTTAGCTCCGATCCGTCTTGCGTTCATAGAACTGGAGGTATTATGTGTACATACATGCTGATTCAGCAATGGGCGTTGATTGTTGTGCTTTGAAAATGTGTACATCAACTTTCAAACTACAATGGCTGCAGGCGAAACGAGGCTTGTTGCGCCGCATGACCTCCCATGTACACTCTATCTTGTGTGCAGGTTCCACTTCTCGAAGGCCGGACAGGAGGTGCACAAGTGCGGGCCCTCGAATTCCGCTGACGCCTATATTGCGTTGCACTGGGTCAACACGTCGGCAGTGGAGTCGGTCAACTCCTTTCTGAAGGGCTTCCGGTCTCTCGGTTGGTACTCGGGGTTGGAGAGCCTGATGGTGATCCTACCCTTGCTGCTTGGTGGTTTCAACACGACGCTGAAGAGGGTGGACGACGCAAAGCGTGGCATTGCCATTGCGGCGGTGGTGTGGTCGGCCGCAATTGCGAGGGCGCTGTTGCAAGAGTAGGGTAGATATCTCAAATGAAGAATCGAAAGAGCTGACGCGCTTTCGGCCCTTGAATAGACAAAGCTGTAGGAGGTAGGTGGCATAGGTAGGGCTCTGATTGAAAAGCAACGGAGGGAAGGTAAGGGTTGCGAGATGGATAGGGGATGCTTTCAAGGTAGTCAAGTAGGTAGTAGGTGGACTTTTCCCTCTCCATGAAGAGTGTTTTATGCTCTTCAAACATGCAAGAATGAATTCACTATATATCTCCATAATCATAACTACTTAACTACCTCTACTATAGTAGAACCATGAAGCATTCCTAAAGTCAGCAGTTTTGAGGCGCCTACTCGTTGCCTACCATACCTACCACCAACCTTCACCATTCGCTTGCAAATGTAGGAACGGCTGCTGCCTCCGGCTCACTGGGATCAAGCGGCTGCTGGCCAAGAACGATCTTTGATCGAATAGCATTGCCGCAAGCTGATTCCCTTGAAGCCGGTTGTATTGCGTTTAGATATCTTCAGCTGTTTTGCAAAGGTGACACCAGGCACACCTTGCATCAGCACTTTGAACTCGGTGACGGTCATAGGACGATCCCGTCTTCCTATGTAATTCTCAAACGCTTGCTTGAGTATGTCAACATGGATTCCCCGTTTGTCACCCTTAACGCAGTGATCAGCAATGAAGTTGTTGAGATGATCATTGGCCTCTACGTATCCTTCAAGAGCAGTCTGCATGTCACGTGGTAGCTCTTCCACCTGCGGGAGACTCCCTCTCGCATACCATGCCATGCTGCCTCGCACGAGCCAAGCCAGCATCTGCTTCCTCCATTCCATACTTTCGATCTTGTCATCCAATTGAAGGTCCTTCAAACGCTCGTTCGTATTAGGTCGGGGATTCTCGACAAACTCTCGCTTGAACGGAAAGACGCGGAGCTTCTTTAAGGTGCCGGAGTCCTTCACATCGAACTTTGGTAGGGAGTTCGTGCAGATGATTGGGAGACATCGACACTTAATCTCGACGGTGGCCTTGTGCAGCCCTCGGACACTCATGCCTCCTCCGCCCGAAGAGATGGACTTCACATTGTTTCCATTGTATACATCATCCGGCTTTGTCTCCTCCATGCCGGCAATGTGTGCCCCCTCAAGCGCTAAAAGATGCGGTGTAGCGGCGCCCTCGGACCTCACGCCGGCCCCAATGACGCAATCTCTATCCATCGTGCAGTAGTACAGTCGAATCGCTGCTTTAACAAGAGCGAGAAGCTTCGTTTTGCCCGAATTCGACGGTCCGTAGCAGATAACGAACTGCTTCTCATTCGAATGCCCGGTGATCCCATAGCCCAGCGTCATCTGCAAGAAGGGGATGATCTCTGGGATTTGGATTTGCAGCATGAAATTGTCGATCAATGGAGACGGATAATCGGCCCCCACATACTCGGTGTCAGTTGCTCTCGAAAGCATGTTGCTTGGATGGTGAGGGATCAGCTTGCCTGACGGTAGATGAATTGCACCCGAGGTGGTGTTTAAGTAGTCTCGAGCTGCATTGAGCTCGCTCGCAAATCCGTCGATCTTTAGCAGACCTTTCAACGGGCTCAAACACCGAGTGGCGATTGGAACTGACTCGATATCAGGGCCAGGCCATTTCGCAAGTTGCATCGCATTCCTCTCTGACGCCTTGAAAGCTCTCCGGATGGCCGTTTCATCGGCACGTTTGGATCGAGCGCTCCCTGTCGCGGCCTGAAGCTCTGC